CACCGGGCACTTCATTAAGGTGGGTGGCGGCCTGTCAGACCCTGCGCCTGACCCCCTCCAAACAAGGGGCTGACACGCGACGTTTCGTAATGGAGACTAACGCAGCTGCCAAAGTGGGCTCCAGCCCACGGAAGCTGGTGTCCAAATAAACGTGTTAGGGTTCAGGGTGCCACAGGGCCTCCTCGTTCTTCTTAATGGCGAACCGGGCACTTCATTAAGGTGGGTGGCGGCCTGTCAGACCCTGCGCCTGACCCCCTCCAAACAAGGGGCTGACACGCGACGTTTCGTAATGGAGACTAACGCAGCTGCCAAAGTGGGCTCCAGCCCACGGAAGCTGGTGTCCAAATAAACGTGTTAGGGTTCAGGGTGCCACAGGGCCTCCTCGTTCTTCTTAATGGCGATCCCAGGGGTTCTGAGAAATGCAGAAGAGCCCCGGCTCTCTCCGCTTTGCAGGGCACAGAGTTGGCTAAAGATACCATAAGTGGTTGAGCTGAGCAGCGAGGGCTAATAAAAATGTGAGCGCAGTGCTGTAATTGAAGTACATCCCTTAATAAATAATAATAATAGTATAATGACTCTTTACCAGATTCAGCACTGTCACATTTGGGCTCTGCACCATTCTGCTTAGTCACTGTGTTGGCACCGGTTATCTGAGGCGAACTTGTTTTTTTTTCTAAGTTCTACACTGCAAGTACATCTATCTTTTTTTACTAACGAAGTACACTGATCTCCATTATTGTTTAAGTCTTCTCTCCATAATATGTGCTTTTTTTTTAAAGTAAGACTTCTGACAATAAAGTCTTGTTTTTGAAATTGATACAATCATGTATTTGAAAGATGGACTGAAATTAATGTGAAACTGACCTTAATGCAAATAGCTGTGCATAAAGTGAATAAGCTAGAATCTATGCATCTATCCTATCATGCAGCATCATGATTTTAAGCTTCTACAACCTGTGTATCTAGACCATTAATTTTTATTTCATTTGTTGCACCTTAAAATGACTAAATTTTGGCTGACTAGATCCAAATAAGTATCATGTCAAGATGCCAGGATTAATTTTAAACAGTTGATTGTGTGATAATGTCTTGTGATGCTTAAAGTTGTGTAGCTAAATAGATCATACAAATAACTACTCAGTGTCATTGTAGTTGTGCATGTAGACTGAATAGACAAGAAAACTTGATACTGTCACCTTAACAAGCATAAACCTGATAATGTTCCTTTCCAGAAAACATTCTCAGCACTTCAAATATGAAGCTAAAATCTAAAGAAAGTCTTGCATTTCCAGATTGCAATAAACAGTAACTTCTGTATGACACAATACAGTTAAAATTCTTAGCGGTAACTGTGTTAGTCTGTAACTTTAAAAACAAGTAGTCCTATGGCACCTTAGACCTGGCTGTCCAACATGCTTGTTGCTAGCTATATGTGGCTATTTGGTTGGTTGAGTGTGGCTTGTGGCTATTTGGTTGGTTGTGTGTGGCTTGTTTGCTATAGCAAATAGCCACTATAGTGCCTACTGCTTCAGAACTGTCTGGATGCCACGGCCTTATGTAAGCTCATGAGCTTTCATGGTCTTTCATCAGATGAATAGTAGTTAAAATACTTAGATAGTAAAAATTGTCCCTACAGTGAATATTTCAGTATAGTTAGATTGAAAATCGGATATTTAAATTACTGCTGATTCAGTCTGCTTATGCAACAAGCAGTGCTGTGATGTAAATCCAAATTATAACATTTAGTAGAAATATGCCATATTGAGGCTAAACAATGTGCAACCGGTAACATAATTTCAAGGAAACTAATAAAATGCAGAAAACCTGAATAGTTGAATGTAGGCTTTTCCTATCTCATCGTTGCTTTTTTTTGGGTTCAGTAAAAGGGATTGCAGAGGTGACTGTTTTTAGATGAAGTAATTTTTATCTAGCAAGTAAGAGCCTTATTTGTATTGAAGCAGTTTTAACTTCTCATTATAAGACTGGTCTGCTTAATGCTACTGAGTAATGTAACTTGAATCAATATTCAGCACTCTAAAAAGAGAAACCATAGTTGTAACATTGCAGCAACAAATTTCGTATCCTACTTAAGTGAGAAATGCAGTGCTTGTTTGTCTGAGCCCATCCAAAAAAATCCCTACCACTTAAATTTTCACGTAGGATTGATTGTAACTCTGCCAAACATGAACTGATGAGATTGCACTCATCCTCTCAGATGAGGTTCTGTATTCAGCTTGCATTCTGCTTAATAACCTGCACTGGCTGAGCTCCATTGGCCTGGGTTTGTTGCAGTAGTCCGGATCAGCAGTATTGACATGCTAGAGTCTGCATTATGAAACAGATAAAACAATATAGCTGAAAGGGATGCAGCCAGTCAGCTGCTTTAATTGCAGTAGATCTTGGGTTTGTGAAGTATTAAGTCCCTCAAGGAAGTGTTATGCACAAATGTTAAGCTAGCATCAATTGGATAAATCAGTGAGAAGGGCTCTTCTTGTATCTTTTTTCCCCAGAAGCTTTTTTCCAACTGGTTCTGAACTGGATTGTCTGGCTGTATCTAATGGTCCATGGATTAGCTCTCCTTTTCTCCACTAAAGGAACTCTAAACTAGGGATGTAAGTGACTAGCTGACTTCGGGTACTCAAGTCACTACTTGACTAGTCACTCTTTTCTCCCACCTCCCTAGGAGCGGGGGGGAGGGGAGGCAGAGGTGGGGCAGGACTAGCTGTGACTCTGCTTTTTAAATGTTTAAAAAAAAAAAAAATTCCGGTGGCTCTTACTACAGAGCTACTGTGGGGTTAGCTCCTGGAGATGGTGCAAGATGGGACTGCTTAGTCCCAGCTCATGCCGCCCTAGTGGGCTACCCCCACTGTGGCTCCCCTTTATTGACTAATTTAGAAGTTGATGGAAATTTCACCGACTTCTCGATTAGTTGATGATCTGCGATTAACATCCCTATTCTAAACTATAATATCCTTCCGCAAAGTAAAATAAATAAGTAATAATGACCAAAAAAGGCCTTGAGACATCACACATGAAAACTAATGACTTTACACAGGTTTTTCTCCAGATGTAACTTTTTTCCCAAGACCTTTCCTGTTAAACTAAATCACTTTTACAGTTAGTAAATATAGAGCCAGTTAATCTAGACTAATTCTTTAACACTTCAGTAGAGAGGCAAGGTGGGAAATTTATTAACACAGTTTACATATTGTAATAAATTCAAGCTATTTTCTAAAATTTGAAGTGGCTTTATTTCAAAAGCACTCTTGAAGGCCTTGTATGGATGTGTGTGTGTATGCATATGTAAATATAGATGATAAAGCTGCCTCGCTACCTTAAAATATAATCTAATCATCTGCATAGCATTATAACCTCACTCATAACTTGCACAGTATTAGAGGTGTAGGAAGGTATTAGGAAGATAGGTTTTGTGAGTCTTGATAATCAGACTCTTAACAAAACATTTCAAATAAATTCTCACATGTGCTGCAAGAATTTGTCTTATTGTTTCTGAACTTGTTAAAGCACTTGCTGCTTATGCTCTAAAAATCCATTTTTTTTCTTCTAGCCCTACTAAATGTGGTAGCAGGTGCAAAAAGCTTGATCAGTCTGTTTGGAAAGTTCTCCAGTATAGGGATGTTAAGTAGCAATTCATTTGCTACTCGAGTAGTTAATGGAATTTCCCTTGGCTAGTCAATAAGCACCTCCCTGTTCTGCTTTTGAAATGTACAAGAGCCCTGGTGGGAGCTCTTGGCATTTCAAAGTTGGACTGCCGCATGGAGCCCAGGGCCAGTGGGAAGTCCGGCTGGCTCTGGGCTCCTGGTGGGCACTTCTGCTTTGAAATACACAAGAGCCTCTGCTGGGGACTCCTGTACTTTTCAAAGTGGCAGTGCTGCAGAGCCCAGGGTAAGCAGGGGAGTCCCCAGCTGATCCTGGGCTCCACCTTGGCATTTCAAAGCAGCAGGAGTGCTGCTTTGAAATGCTGCGAGGAGCCTGATGCCGGGTTCCCCACAGCATTCAGTTGCAGTGCTGCACAGAGCAGCTGACCCTGGGGTTCTGTGTGGTGCTGCTGCCTTTAATTATCTCTTCCTCCTCCCCCCCTCCCCGTTGCCTCTGAAAGACAGCAAGGGGCGGGGAGAGTGACTAGTCGACTATTTGATAAGCATTTGCTTATCGCATAGTTGACTGGTCCTTTACATCCCTACTTCAATATGAATAATACATCAAACTTGTTTTATTTGAGAGAGACTTGTCCAGGAAACCAGAATTTTGAAAATGCTGTTAGATCAGACTTCACATTTTCCACTCATACTCTTGCTGCTTTATTCTAGAAGTAGTAAATTAAGACTCTTATCCAAGCAGACACTTTGTAAAGATATGTCTGTGGGAACAATATTTGCTCTTTCATATATACTGTTGTGTGTCCCATCTTGATGTCATTTGTCTTGAAGAGGCAATATGAATGGTAAAGATGGCTTTTTATAACATTGTATTACACTAACTTTCTGCAAACTATTGTATGAAAATGACTGACTTTTTTCATGTTATAGATGCCGTCAATTAAACTGCAGAGTTCTGATGGAGAAATTTTTGAAGTTGATGTTGAAATTGCAAAGCAATCCGTAACTATCAAGACTATGTTGGAAGGTAAGAGAACAGGTTTGAGAGAAAAGCTTATCACAAACTAGTGTCCCATTGTTCAGATGAGACATTTTAAAAGCTGAGGTGCTTTATCAAAACTCGAATTTGGTGTTTCTTTGTAGCCCTGTCCTAGGTACATATCTAGTAGGAAGAGAAGGGATTAGAACAACCACAAATCAAAACTCATCTCAGTCTTACAACTACAGAATAACAACCCACAAAAACTTAGAAACTTTTTTTAATGTGCAACCTATTTGGATATTTAGGCCTCCATTACAGATACTGGTTTTGTAGTGGTAGGTAAGTAACGCAAACTGATCCTAGGCATGTGATCATGCTGAATAGCTGATCTGAACAAAACACTTCTATTATGGGTTGAATTTACTGGCTTTGAGTTATGTCTGCTAAGATACAACACATATAACTTAAACTAGGGATGTGAACGACTAGTTGACTATCTGACCAGCAAAGGCATCTACTATTCAATTAGTCAATTACTCAAAATTTAACTATTTCTGTTAAACAGTAGTTCATCTTGATCAAGGAGCTGATAGAGGAGGTATCTGAGCCTCTAGCTATCATCTTTGGAAAATCATGGGAGACAGGAGAGATTCCAGAGAACTGGAAAAGGGCAAATCTAGTGCCCATCTATAAAATCGACTATTGGATTAGCCAGTTAATCTAAATGTAACATCCCTAATTTAAAGATGGGAAAAACTAAGAGATGAAAGTAAAAAAAACAAACACAAAACATTGATAAGGATAGATATATTAGACTGGCCCTATTGTCTGAATATTTAACTGTTAACAGTTGTTACTTCTTAAAAACTGAAACAACCCAGAACGTCTCAAGGTCTCATTTACATTAACCTCCCATGGCTTGCAGTTTAGAACCAAGGACAGACTGTCAGTTCAAGTCTATTAGCAAAACGTCTGTGGACTAGTTTTCACATTAATTGGGAGATGCCTTTCTTTTGTTTGACTATTTATTGTAGAACTAGTAGCATCAGCATAGCCTCTGGAAAAAGCACTTGTCTGTGGTATGAACTTTTCTCTTAAACCTTCTCTATTGCTGTTGGGGGAGTTTTGCACCACTATGTACACATAGAATTCATATTCCCCTCCGATTCCTTTGTTTCTCAGTCAAAGCCATTTTTCTGTAGAAAAGCAAAGCAAAGAAAAGCTGCAGAGGTGCCAGAGTCTGTCTGTCCTCCCCCTGTTCTGCCGGGTCACTTCATAGGCACTTTCTCTGAAGTAGCACAGGTTGTACCTCCCTTACCTGGGATGCCCTAGTCTGGCAACATCTGTGGTCCGGTATGGACCATGGATGTTTATGGACCACAGAGCCCAGGAAGGAGGAGGTCTGGTGGTGGGGAAGGAGTGCTGTAAGGGGCACTGGCAACTCAGCTGAGAGGGGGGTGTGGGTAGGTGGGTGTGTGTGGACAGACAGACATGGCGGGAGCTCTGGCCCCAGCGATGGCCGGTAGAAGAGTTCCGGCTGTAGAGCCAGGCAGTGGGGAAGAGCCCGGGGGCCGAGGCCGCAGCAGGGGCAGGATGGAGCCCTACCCCAGCGGCAGCATGGCCATGAGGGGAGGGACCTTCTCTGGGAAGGGAAATCCTCTCATTCTGGACTTGTCAGGTCATGAGGGCGCTGGACCAGTGAGGACCAACCTGTAGTGCCAGTTTCAGTTTTTCATGCCATCTTATCTTTTTCCTAATTTGTCAGAAAATATTTGTTTCTAAATGCAGCTATTTCCACATATTTGTCAATGTGAGAGTCATATTAAATACAGTCAAAAGTAAGAAATATAAACTCTTTATAGGCAACTGTTTTCATAGTTGAGCTGTTTTGGTCAGGGATAGTCTTGGCAAACTTACGTTCTTCAGCCTCATGCTGACTGTTTAGAATTCCTTTTAAGTTGCTAATTTGGACTTCTGCACAACTAATTTGTGGATATGCCTTGAAAAAGCCTCTTACTAAAATAAGTACAGCTTGGGGAATCATTTACTTGAGCAGTGATTACAGTATTGAGTGAATTAATTTTGATTTTACATTTATTCTTGGGCATGAGGTCTCTACTTCTGGTTCAAATGCCTGGGTTTATGAACAGAGGCTGCTACTTGAACATTGAGGATCAGACAGTATTACTGTGGGGGTGTAGCATAAATGAGAGACGGGGCCCCGCTCTGACTTCTCTGTGCCCTCAGTGTTAGTGGGGAGATAGGATACATATTTAAAACTTAAGATGCTGCTTTCTCTAATGTACATACTAAACCTTAGATTATGCAAACCATTTTTGTTTCAGTTGAATTTTTCACGTTAATGTTGGCTTTTATTTTGGCAGCTTGTTTCATAGATTGCTTTCCTGCTTTCGTTCTTGAGGCCTGACACCTGACTTCCCTTTTTATGAGGTAGTTGGGGAGAGAACAGTAATACCTTTTGAGCAGCTGGCTGAGGCAGTCACTTGGACGTGCCATCCAGATATTGTCTGCAGCCAGTAGGAATGTAAGGAAAATTGGCATTCCCATAAAGAGTGGAAAGAACAGAATCAAAAGTTACAAATGTATTGATGTTATACTGACCCTTAACCATTTTAAAGGGTTTTTGTATTCCCTGAATATTTTAGTCTTGTGTAATATTTTAGTCTTGTGTAGTTCAATGCTTTCCTGGAAAGGAGCTTTATAAAAATGCAAACCATCTATTTTCATTTGCATGCAACTTAGTTCACTTTTAATGTGTTAAACCATAAGCAAATACTGCAAAAATGGACAGGTCAGGTGGCTTTGTCAGGACTCAGTACCAAATACAGTGGATAGGTGTCTCCTTTGTAGGTTGTAGCATTGTATGAGACTTCAAAAAAATCTCCAAGCATGAGAATTAAAGCAAAGACAATGTCACATGTTTGTGAAAGGAGTTAAATTATTGAGGATAATGCTTAGCTCTGATCTCCCAGTGATGCAATTTGTAAATAAAAACATCTGTGGGGGGCCACCAGATGGTCTGGATGTACAGCAAACTCTGCCTAATCCTTCTCAATAGGGACTGTGTTCTTACCCCAAAAATCACAACTATTAGTGTCTTCTCTTCTGAAAATGACCCAGGTCTAGCTGAACAGATTGGATATGCTAAAGGAGAAATAGTTTTTAGCCATGAGACACAAAGTTAAAATACTCTAGACATTTACAATTGTATCTTTTTACTCTTTGTCCTTCATTCCTACCTTGTAACACCACCAAAACCCCCTTAGTATGATGCTGCATGTCATGATCAGTACACAAAATTTGGAAAGCATGAGATGGAAGTTATAAAAGCTCTCTCAGCAGATGGCACAGAATGCAATTCCTTAGTGTGCCCATCCATAGAAATCAAATGCAGAGGATATGTGGGATCTGGGACAGAGGTTGGGTGCAGAAGGGTGCTTATGGTAGGGAATCAGGATGGAGAGGTTGTGGGATCTGAGTTTGGATGAATGAAGGGGTTGTGATATGGGGCAGGAATTAGGTTGTGGGTTCCAAAAGGGGGTATAGGCGCAGGATAAAATTCTGACCTGGGGAAGGGTGCAGATGGTTTGGGGTGTGACCCAGGGCAGGGAATTGGGTGCAGCAGGGGATGCAAGGTCCAGGATAGGGTATGAGTGCAGGAGAGGATTCCTACCTGGGGGAGGAACCAAATCCCCAGCATCTCTATGGCTATAGTATTAACTGCTCCTGCAGAAAGAACTAAATATGGCTTGTAGTTCATCCAGTAACTCTTTTAGATTATACTTAATAGTAGATACAAATGGTATTTCTTTTTGGAACACTTACAACAAAAATGGGATCTGAATACTGGTGGTGGCTAAAGAGACCTCCTCCTAATTATCCAACACTAGTAATAGTAGGATTATGGTGAAATAGGGAGGAACAGAACAATTTAATGGCAATTTAATACAGTCTTGTGAATAAGCAAATATAAATGCATTGGCGCATATATAGATTTAATAGTTACTTGGATATGATGAGCATTTTGTTACATAGCATGTCAAAGTAACGCAGCTGTAAGATTGAGGCCGTGTCTAAGAATGCTTAACTTCTTTCTTTAGCAGTAGGAGAACCTTAATTTGAATACAAATTGAGTGGATTTGCAGCATTCAGCATCAGAACTGTATATTGTACTTGGGTTTATCAATCCACTGAATTTCAGAAAAAATGACATGAATGGCAAGTTAAAACATCTATCTTCTTTCCATTCTTAGATCTGGGAATGGATGATGAAGGAGATGATGACCCAGTCCCTCTTCCAAATGTTAATGCAGCTATATTAAAAAAGGTAAGATGCAACCCAGGTGCAGTTATTGGTAGCTTTGAACTACAAAAATGTATAGACTGAGCCATTGTCTAATGAGAACTGGAAATACTCCATTTAAACACAAACTTTCTTGTGTGCTAGTTAACATGTTCTAAAAATGTAACTGTATAGTGATCAAAAGTAGGATTTGTTGAACTGCAGTTCTAATTTCCCGAGGCTTTCCTGTAAATCATAGAGATAAAACACATCTTTTCATATTAGTGCTTAGAGGGCCAGTAGCAGTGGTAATGTATAGCATGCCTGGCTGCTAAGTGCTGTGCACCAAACTCACCATCTATGCCCTCATTATTCTTGTCCTGGGGTTCTACAATTGTAGACTTCTTGTGACATTATCTGAGGACTCACTTGAGTACATCAAATTGAAATGAAAGATCTGGAGGCTTATGTTCAGCTATTAAAAGCCAGTGTATTTAATGGTCTGGAATCTATTGTTACTAGGTCAAATGGAAGAAGGAACAAATTTGCATGCCCCATCTCTTCAAGGGCCCTGTCTGCATTGTGTTGGAAAAGTTTGACTCAATTTAAATGTTTTTGAAATGAATTGATAGTTCTGTAATAAACCCAACCAGTGAGGCTACCGCACTGTTTATATATATATTTCTAGCCAGAGTGCAACAGGAGACTGAGTTACGCAACCCTCTATTTATATAGTGCTTAGTAATGCTACACTAGTCAAAATTCAGACTAAATACAAAAAACTTAATCATATTTGTAACTGTTTTTTCTCCCTGATATGCTTCACAAAGTTATGCTTTACCACTTAATTCCTGACACTGCTGTCTGTCTGGCAATAGGTGGCAAAAATAGAACTGACACAGCACACTGTACCCAAGTTCCGGGAGAAACTGTTCCTATAATCTGAAGTCTAAACAACTGATGAGAAAATTTAAGAAATTTTATATTGATTTGTCATGTCTTAATATTAGGTGATTCAGTGGTGCACCCACCATAAGGATGATCCACCGCCCCCTGAAGACGATGAAAACAAGGAAAAACGAACAGATGACATCCCTGTGTGGGATCAAGAATTCCTGAAAGTAGACCAAGGAACACTCTTTGAACTAATCCTGGTAGGGAGTCCATGTTCTGTTAGATGCTCTCTTTAGCACACAGCCACATTGTCTAGACTGCTGAACTTTATCTTGGTGGTGTAGATCAAAAAGGTGCTATTTGTTTGACTTCCTCACTTTATAGTAAAATGATTCAAGATAATGCGTGTTGTGGAGACCCTTCACATACTTACCTAATACTTACGCTGCTCAATCTACACTTGAGGACCAAAGTACAAATTTGATGTTTACTGAACTGTAGTGCAAAGCTAATCGGGCCTTCCACCTACTTGACACATTTATTGTAGATGTGATACCTTCCTTCATTTGAAATAGGGTTGTGTGCTAGCTGCAGTTCAGAAGGGTGAATCCTTTTCTATCTTCAGCTCATTCTTGATGTTTTAAGGCCCAGTTCCCTTACCCTAATGGCATGTAAGTTGGTGCTCACTTGTATGCAGGCAGTGTGTTGTATTTCTTGGATAGCCAACTGGCTGCACGCAACTTTATTGTTCATGGGCTTCTGTAAGCTTTTTCTAACAGGAATGTCTCAAATTTTCAAATTTTCAGTTTGCTTAGAAGATTTCTAAACTTTTCCATTAGGACTGTGCTAACTGATGTATTCAAATGCTTGCTCTTAATGAGCTACCTAAACACATTACTCGATCATAAAGTGAAGGTAGCCTATATTTGGTTTAAGTTGTACAACCATAGAGGCAGGGCATTGACTCTAAATCTGGCTAATCTTTTTTTGCAGGCTGCAAATTACTTAGACATTAAAGGTTTGCTCGATGTCACATGCAAGACTGTTGCAAATATGATTAAGGGGAAAACTCCAGAAGAAATTCGCAAGACCTTCAATATCAAGAATGACTTCACCGAAGAGGAAGAAGCACAGGTACTTCATAGTCTGGATCTGGATTGTTTAATATGCTGAAGCAGCCACATTATTGTTATAGCTAATGTGTTTCAGCATGCAGTGTTCCAAGAGATTTTCAGTCTAAATGTTATAAAGTGTAAAACAACAATTGGTGCCTCAGCTAATTTGCCACTTAGGGCCATGGTCACCAACCCGTCGATCGCGATTGACTGGCCGATCGCGAGGCCTCGACCAGTTGATCGCGAGGTGTTCGGGCAACTCCACCCCCCCATTTTTCCCCCCACCCCCAAGAAGCCCCACTACCTACCTCTAGTGTAGTGCCAGCTTCCCGCGGGGTGGATGGAAGTCCTGTCTGAAGCCCGTGTCCCTGTTGGGGGTTCCGGAAGTGCGTAGGCTGCTCCCCTCCCACAGCTCTGTTGCGTGCTGAGGGAGGGGGCGTCGGCCCTGGAGGAGGAGGTAGCCCCACTACCAGAGTCCCTGTAAGCCTGTGTTAGCTGACTTGGGCCAGCCTACTTGGGCCAGCAATCTTATCCCTGTGTAAACATAGACTTACAGGTTAATGTTCTGTGTTCACTATTTCACAATGAATTAATACCACCATGTCAGACTTATTAAACATTTTTGGCTAAGATGGTATTTGTGCTTAATGTAGAATGACCAATATCACTTAGGAGTGAGGGGGTAAAAAAATAATTCCCTTCCCTAACCCTCCTGATGTAAAGTAGCTGTGATGACCTAATCCATGATATTAGCTGCAGCTAGGTCAGGGAAAGAATGTTTCCTTCATGATGATGGAGTTGGTAGGGTGATAGGAACCAACCCTTCCGATCACTGTAGTGAGTCTGCATTGTGGCAGTGGCACAGCTATGGTGCTGTAGTCTCCATACAGTGGACAAACCCTAAGTAAATCAATAATAGGACAATATTTCTCTTTCTGTAGGGCTGCCATAAATAGCCTTTTATTGCTGAGGCTTTGGAGAGGGCAACAAAGCTGTAAGTGCATTGAGGCATCCAGCTACAAAGATTAAAGTTGCGCAGAATTTCCCTCAAAGGCTTTTCAAAGAGTTAACATTAAAACAAATTGTGCATTATGGTGTATCTTAAATGATTAACCAGTTTAAGCAGAGTACAGGCAGTCCCCGACTTACGCGGATCCGACTTATGTTGGATCCGCAATTATGAACGGGGCTTTTCTCGCCCCGGAGGACACGGACTGCGGGACCTCATGGTCCTGCCGCCCGTGTACTCCGGGACGAGAAAAGCTGCTCCTCGTCTCCCTGGTCTGCAGACCAGGAAGACGCGGAGCAAAGCCGCGGAGGGGCTCCGGCAGCGGGGCAGCCCAGACGCGCCGGGGCTGTCCCGCTGCCGGGGCATCCTCAGAGGCTTTGCTCCTGGTGTCCCTGGTCTGCTGGAGATGGG